ATTGAAGAAGTTCTGCTTCAGCTGTGTGAGCTCAGAAGTCAGGACTCACGGGACTGTCACCACCATGGCCTGGTCCCCTCTCCTCCTCACCCTCCTTGCTCACTGCACAGGTAACCAGTATGGGGCTGAGCGGAGGGTCCTGGGAAGACACCCAGGACCTTGCCACTCTCCCTGTCTCTGGACCCTGGAATGGTCACCTCTGTCCTCTTCACTTCTAGGATCCTGGGCCAAGTCAGTGCTGAGTCAGCCGCCCTCAGTGTCTGGAAACCTGGGTCAGAAGGTCACCATCTCCTGCACTGGAAGCAGCTCCAACATTGGGGGTGGCAACTATGTGCACTGGTACCAGCAGCTCCCAGGCACAGCCCCCAAACTCCTCATCTATGGTAATAATAAACGACCCTCTGGGGTCTCAGATCGATTCTCAGGTTCCGTGTCTGGCAACTCGGGCTCCCTGACCATCACTGGACTGCAGCCTGAGGACGAGGCTGACTATTATTGTGAGTCCTACGACAACACTGTGAGTGCTCACACAGTGCTCCAGGATCATGGGGAAGTGAGACAAGAACCCTTTCTCATCAGCTATAAGGAGACACAGCTGCTGCCTGCTCTTACCCAGCCTTCTGCTTCTGCTCCTGCTCCGCTCTCCCTCGCTGCCCCAGCTCCTCCATTAGGCACCACGGGGAGGGCAGGGTCTCCTCTCTCTTTGTCCATCGAAGTCACGCACTGACACCCTTCCTGGACAAAGTAGCTCAGAGGATCCTGAAACTCTTCTTCTCCTCATGCTGGGACTGTCTTCCCTTGATATTGGCCGAGAGAATGCAGCTCTGACCATGTCACACCAAACCTGACTACGGAGCCTGTGTCTCCATCATCAACTGTCCCCGACTCTCAGAGATTCCCCTGCCGTGACGGATTAGGCTGTGGACTGATTTCCTCACCTGCCACCCCTCGAGCCTAATTAACAGAAGATAGAAGAAATACACAGAGTCACCGCACCACAGAAGCATGAATCCCATTTGAACGCTTCAAAGGCCAGCATATACTGTACAGCAGTGATTCTAAAGCAATGGTAGGGTACCATCGACAGCAATAATGTTATCCAATTGAAAACAGACAAGCACAAATGCTC